CCAAACATTTGGAGTCCAGAGGAGGAAATTTGGATCTGATTTGTAAAATATGGACCCGCATGAGTGTCCACCCAGATCTCATGAATACCTCCTTTCCTTATGTTTATTCATTTCTCCCAAGAAACATATTGAGAATGCCAAGGAGGTGAGGTAAAATAGATATGGATTGTGTTGGCAGCTTTACAGGTCTGAATGTGAGAGTGGAATTAATAGATTACTAAATTGGGATACACAAATAAGCCAGTTGGAAGAGATGACTTCTAAAAATGTTTCCAGCTCTAAATTGAGGATCCTAAGACGAGAAAAGCACAAAGTAGATAACACAAACATATTTATTCAACCAGAGAATGAATGAGCAAGAGCTCCAGCTTTGGAGCTGATAGTTCCAGTACAGACCCCAGGTTTGACACATAGTAGCTCTAAACTTTGCCATCTACATCTCTTCTCTGAGTTTCATGTCTTCATCTACATTCTGGGGATAAGACCAGCTACCTTGTGGCATTGTTGGGATGACTAAATCAAATGGCATTATCTATGAAAAGCTGTTAGTAAGTGCTTGACACAAAATGCATGCTTTGTAAATTATGGCTTCATAATTTGTCTTTGAGTGCTAAATTTCTCATCCTTCATTCCAGATGCATTAAAAAATATTCACCAAGTGCCCACTTTGTGCTTAGTATGATTCTAGGTGCTTGGAATGTGCCAGCAGACACACAGGCCAAAAATCCCCATCCTCGAGGAGTTTATGCTCTCATTCTCAGCTTAGATCTCAATTCTTCCAAGTGTGTATTAGACACCTCTGATTCTATCAGAGCTCATTCTACCGCAGCGCCACTGCTTGGCTACCTGTGGCTTTTTCTTGAAGATTCTGTGTACCCTGAAGTCTTGGCACCACTGGATCATCATTTCCTAACATAGTTCATGGCACTTCAGAGATGCTCCATGAATATGTATTGAAAGAATTGATGGGTGGGATGAGCAGGTAGATAAATAGTGAGAGTAAGCTGCTATTCACTGCTCCTCGTGTGCTTTATACTTCACTTTCTTATTTCTGTCCAGAGTCTTCTTGGAGAAATCTGCAGATTCCACGTAGGCCAAAGGGCACAGTGATCCATGCAGAAGCCCTTGACAGCAAGCTGGGAAGCAGACACTTCCCTGCTCTTTCTTCCCAGCCAGAGACAGAATGAACTGGCTGCATGACTCGTGCTACTAGAGCCCAAGGGTGGGTCACGGGAGCTGACTCTGGACAAATGGTCTCTGATTTATAATCCTGTCTTCTACTTCCTATATCTAGAACTTCACCCAGAGTGGATGCTTTTCTAAGCTCTAAAATTCTGCCTTCATGTGGTGAGCGTTAGTGTAGGTAGTGGATAGGAAGGTGTCATTTGGAATTAGATTACTTTTAATCTTGTCTATGCCATCAGTAGCTGTATGAGGTGAGAGTGATCATTTTTCTGAGTTTCAGCTTTCTCGCCTGCCTCAGAAGTGTTTTTAAGGCACTTAAAGCAGAGTAAATACTTAATACATGGTTGTCATTATTATTTTTATTGTTCACATTTCAGTAGGACATCCAGAGCCAGTGAGGATCCTTACAGACAATCTATGCTGAATCCTTCTTACTCCTAACGTGTATGAGTCACCTGCCACCTAAGACATCTTCTCTGTCTAACTCCAGAGATGAGCTTCATAAGTTGTCCTCTTATTTGACAGATTTGGAAGTAGGACCCCCAATAGGTGATTCAATGCATCTTGGTGTCACACAGTTATTACTAGCAGCACTGGTGCCAGTCCCCTTCTCCTTTAATAGTGCCTGTTCTTATTCAATGGAGGGGCTTCCACTTAAGGAGATGTTCCACATTTCTTCCTTGTCTTGGCTAAAAGTAATCCGTCTACTAGAAGTTTCCATGGAATAAGCACAGAAGGCTCTCTCTTCATCAATGTCATACCTTGGGAAACTATCTCCAGTGTAGATAACAGAAAGAATAAATATTTTTGTTGAGAGAAAAAAATGAAGACAAGGGTCAAAGGGAATCATGTAATGGGTTGAGTCAGAGAAGAAAAAGAAAGCATTTTTTTTCTCTCTCCTCTTTTTCTCCAAAACAGTCTTTATATAGAACTTGTATAAGAGCCAATTTATTTGATATGGAAAAAATGTGAAAGCAGCAACACACACACCACACACACACAAAGAGATATTTGTGGTGAAGTTCAGAACTCAAATTACCAAGAGATAAATGAAATGGTAGGTGAACTTGGAATGATATGTTTCCCTTTATTTTCAGAATGTCAGAGAGACTATTTAGGCCAGCAAGCCCAGCCCAGCGCAAGCCCAGGTCTCCAAAACACTGTGTAGGACTCAAGAGAGACAAAGAAGGAGGCCCATCACTGCCTCACCCTACCCTCATGCCATCACAGAGTAGGGATGAAAGAAAAGTCTGGTGGATGAATGAGAAAAGAAATGGTTGCATAAGAGTGAAGAGTGGTGGTTTTGAGAGCAGACTGGAACAGGACCTGGCATTTTTATAAGGCAGGTAGGATCCTAGGTACTCCCATTGAGCGCCTTCAGGAAAGGGATGGCTTTGAATTATCCTTATACTGTTCCCACTATTGACTCTGACATGTAGAATGTTCTAAATACATGCATGTAAATTGAACAAGTGGTCAAATGAGTGAAAGAGACCTTAGGCCTTGGAGATTCCTAAACCTCATAGATCTTCTGGCGCTGTTAAACTTTAAGGAGCAGTAGAATCACCTGGGAGGCTCTACACTCCTAATTTCTGGTTCTGTTGGCTGGGTTGGGTCCTGAGAACCCAGCCGTTTCAACTTCCAAAGTGATATGATTCTGCTGGGCTGGGGCCACGCTTTAACAACCTATTTTAGTGCAGTGATTCTTAAATTTGCTTATATATTATAATCACTTGGCAATATTTTCAAAGTACTGATGGTCAGGTATTATTCTTCCCAATTAAGTCAATGCCTGGGAGTGGAGGGATGCAGGGTGACGAGGAGATGCAGGTGAGGCCAGGCAATTTAATAATGTCCCACGTTTTTGTAAACATGCCAACTGAGTTTGAGAACCACTAATCTGAGGGTGACCCGCTCTGTGTAGAGTTGAGACATCTGAAGACCAGAAAGGGTGTAAGTGATTCACTTAAAACTATAGTGGAAATTAGTGAGTTAGCGGAGAATAGGACTAAGGCTGCTTTTACTTCTTCAGTTTAATCTTCACCATTCCACACTTATCAACCCATGTCAGTTCTTACAGGCTCACAACTTGAGGCACAAAATGAGAGCTAAGTTCAAACTTGGGTTTTTAAGACATCTATGATTTCTTTCCTCCATTGTTTTATAAAGAAATTTTAAGTGGATGCATATTTATAGAACCCTACCACTCTAGACAAGTGAGGAGATGGAGGAGACAGGGTTATGGAATATTTTTAAGGCAAGACCATCTTTTAAATTTTAAGTGCATTATCAAACACAAACCAAGTGCTCCCTCTGAGTTCTTAAACAGATGTTCTTCATCTCTGATTCAATGAATGGGCAAGGGTTTGCTTGTGATGTGCACATTAATTGCTGGCATGTAAAAGGAAGTGCTGGTAAAGTGTTTGAAAGTGGTTCTGTCTTTTAAAAAGATTAAAAGTTTCCTCCAGAACTTGGTTTCCATTAGTAAATATTTTCAAGTAGACAGAGCAGAGATGGTGCCTTATATCATCTTAGAACCAAATAAAGAGCCACAAAAGGCTTATAGAAAACCACTGACTTCAACATTTTCATCATGTTGGAAGGAGGAAATTGAGGCTCAAAGAGATTGACTGATTTATTTAACATTAGTAAGTGTACTGACCAGGGCTAGACACACAGGGTCTATCTTCTATGTCATTTTTCTTTTTAATACTTAAAGTGTCCCCTACCAATGTCCCTATACATAGTAGGCATTCAAGAAATAATATGATGATAGGTTACATGGACTGCTGGTATCCAAATTAGGTGGCTAAGGCTCTAACATTTTTTACATTAAAGCAGAAGTTGGAATCACATCCTTAACGAACACCAGTTAAGTGCACTGGCTTAGGAATCAGCATGGAATTCCGATTCTTATCTAAGCACTTCCTAAGTGTGTTGTCTTAGACAAGTGACTTTGTATCTCTAAGCCCCAGTTTCTTTCTTTGTGAAATAAGAATGATAATAGGGCTGTGGTAGTGGAGAGGATGAAATGTGTAAAGGATGTTAAATCCTTAGCTCACTGTCTGGTATCCAGGGAAAGCACTAATGGCTTCCTAATAAGGTAGCCTTCCTCATAAAATGGAAATCCTAAGGGTATTTGGAGAAAAGGGATGGAGAAGTGTCTTGAGAAATGAGTATTAAGGACAAGTATTACCTCATATCATCCACTCCCTGGATGACAAAAACATGAGGTTCAAAGGCTCTTAAGGATCAAAATAAGTTTGGACCCCATGTCTACTCAAGAAATAAGATGAGAAGCAACACTGTTATGAGTGGGCGATATTCACTTTCCAGCAATGTTTTTGCAGAAATACCGATGAATGGGTCTAATTCCCAGGCAACCTAATTCCCAGGCAACCTGCTATAACTTCACTACCTTTCATTGACTTAAAAAGTAATCAGAATGCATGAATCTTCTTTAGTTATAAAAGGAAATTGTTAGCAAACTTCAGTCCTTCTACATTTGTTAGTAATAAGTGACTTTCTTACTGCAAATATCATACAACCTCCTTCCTTTATTGTTGGGGTGACTAAAATTCAGGGAAGTTGGTGACACATCAGAGTCATCACCAAATTTAAGCCTTCTAGTTAACTCCTGCCATATCAACTCTGCCTTGTTAAGACAATTCTACACCTGATGCTGGGTTACAATCTCTAGAAGCAAGCCTTGCAGAGTGATGACCCTTCACTCTGTTGTTCAGGCCTCCCTGCCTCTTCTCCTATCCCCCCATAGCCCACCCACTCAATCATCATCCTATTCAGAGTGTACTTACATGTCCACGAATCTCCTATTGAGGTGTAGGGTAGAGGCCACATCCACTTGGAGAGGAGGGTTGCGAACCACCTTGTACTGCAGTGGCTTACATTCTAGGCAGAGCGGGCTGTCTGCAATGGAGGTCAACATGGCCGCATCAATCTCTAGGTGCTCGTCCAGTGTGTAGATCTGGATGCCATACACCTCCTCACCTACATCCCGGAGTCTGATGGTCAGTGGGACATCACAGAAGACATTCTGAGGACCCAGGGAGATGTTCTTCCCACTGATAGTCAATAGCTTGATGTCATTGACAGCTCCACTAGAGTCCCAGTCAGTGGAGACAAAGGTCACCCAGACAGTCAGAGACTCAGGGATCAAGGGGTAGAGAAATTCCAGCTCAAGGTAGCAGCCTTGTGGCTCAGGGCAGGCTGGAGGGACTGTGTGTGGATTGACAGCTGAATTTGGGCTCCAAGTGCGGACACTGGACTTACAGGGCTGTTCAACATCTGGATGACCTAAGGAGAAGAGATGAAGAAATGAGTTCTTGTGGATGACCTTCCTCCGATCCTCAGTGTTTCCTGCAGACCAGGAAACACAGACTGATCTGCCTAGAATTTAGACACAGGGGGAAAATTTCTTGGTGTCTTGTTGAATCTGCCATATACCCAGCACCTGGTCCATCCTTGCTCCTGCAATACAGATCTCAGAGTAATCACCAGATGTTTAGTCAAAATCACATTCAAGTAAGTGTCTTACTATTGAGTTGATGCCCAAACTTTCCTTCCTCATCTTCCTTTTGGAGGCATTGCTGTGTAAAATGAAAGGAAGGAAGGGACACATATTGGTCACATGTCTTCTATGTCCCAGGAACTTGCTAAATGCTTGCAAAGACTCACATTAGAGATGAGGAAACTAAATGTCAGAAATACGGAATGAACTGACCAAGGTTATACAGCTTGAATTGTAAAAGTCAGAGTTAGAACCCAGTTTTCATTCTGAAATTCCTACGCTTTGTTCTTCTCCCTATTGGGTTCAGAGGCCACTAGAGTAAGTAAGAATCTCTGAGATACATGTGCATTATTGCCCTTGCTACAACCCACTTAGATGGACAGAAGTCCTAGGAAACTACCAGCAAAGAGGAGGTAAGCATGCATAGCATCCACCCCTTGGACGGAGGACCTGGGAGGAAACTGTCTAGAACCATGAACAACACAGCTGGAAGGCAGCCCTGGAGCCCTCTTATCTCTCCTCCTCCCCTTCCTTACATGAGGTCATTCCATACCACTGAGCTTCTCCCTGCTCTGTCCAGTCTGACTCTAGAAGGGGAGAGTTGGGGGGGGGGGAGGACGGAGACAGTCTTCCACTCTTTCCCTAGGGAGATGATGCTTCATCCCCACTGACCTCAGCCTGCTGCGACTTCTAAATTTTTCTCTGCTGAGATCACAGCTAGACCCTCAGAGAGCTCTCCCTTGCACGGCTGAGAACAGTAATCAGGACTCAAATTAGCAACTGGCTCTAATTTATTTAAGGGAGTTTCATGAGAAATACAGATCAGCTGGTGAGAATAGGATGGAGGCTCTCAAGATGTCCTATTAGCCACATTCTAGTTTTTCATCAGCATCAGTGGTTGGTTGAGGAGTGGGGTTGCTGGGCATTTCTAATGTGAAAAAGAAAATAAAAAACTAACCTTTGTCTGAAAATGTTTTGTGGTAATTTACAGGGTAACAGGAATCACCACAACAGCAACATTAGGACACGATTTAGAGTGAAGAAGCTCTTCCAGTGAAGGCGTGAATGCCTCCCACCTCCCACCTCCTTGCCTCTGGCCAGCCGAAGGAGGCCAGAGAAGCCAAAGCCACTAATGAGTGGAGGTGGAGAAGAGAAGAGGAAAAGACAGCAAAGGGGGTGGTGGTGAGGAAATGCACAGAGATTTTTTAGATATCCTGTATTTCATCAGAACAAGAAGAGATGGATCTAAGTAGAATATTCCCTCCATTCCTCATTGGCTAGTTTTATTTGTTACTCACAGCAACTGCCAGCTTGGAGTGACCCTTAGTTTCAGTGAAAAGCACAGATAAGAATCCTCACCTAGCTGAAGGCTTTCTCCTTGTCTACTCTCTGCTCTGTTGAGTTCTTAAAACTCTTAACTTTGCAAGTTATTGACACACATGCATCACTTGTTTATTCATTTAGTAAACGTTATTGAGAGTGGCACTTTATGGTATATAAAGCACATTTCCTAGTAATTAGTTAACTCATCTGATTGTCACCCAAATCCTATAAGGGAACTATCATTTCATCTCAGTTTTGTAGCTGTGTTTCACTCAATGCCATGCAGCATACGAATAATACAGTGTGACTGGTCCATAGAGAATGCACACAGTGGATGCTCAGTAATATTTGCTAAGTGAGGAACCATCTAGTTTGTTAACATGGAGTTAAAAAAGAAGTTTCAGCATGGAACGTTAAAGCCTACATCCTCATGGTGGGTGCCAGGTAAACACTGCACCCTTCCGTGAGCTTTCTCCTGGAATTGGCAAGGGATAAAACAATCTTTTCAACCTTCCTTGGAGAAAATGACTGTCAGTGGAAGGAAGCCACGGGACAGCAAAGATGACAAATCTGTTTGGCTCATCCTTCCTCCCTGGTTGCTTGTTCATCAACAGAGAGACCAAATGCTTCCAAAGGACAGGAAGGTGAGTCTGGTCATTATGTAAGTACACAAGTAAGTACACAAGAATGAAAACCTTAGCAAAGTTTGTGCTTGCCTGGTTATTAGAGACAAACTCTTAGATGTAAAAAAAGAAAGAAAGAAAGAAAGAAAGAGTCCCAGGAGTTCTTGAGCCCAACCCATTACCAAAGCAGCAATCCCATTAATAATGCCAGGCTTCATGAATTGACCATCCAGTATGTGCAGGCGAGGTGCCAAGCACATTACATGCCTCAGCTCTTCTCATCCTGGCAGTAAGTCTATGACGCAGGTCTTAGGAAACTCATTTTACAGAAGAGGAAACTGAGCCTCAGATGGTTCAGTAATTCCCTGGTGGGGAATAGAACATTATGTGATACTGTTGATCCAGGCAATGGGCCAGCCTCTGAAGCAATGAAAGTCACACTATACTATCGGCTATATAGTTTCTCATTGTGTCACCTATTGTCATGTTACCAACTGAGGATTGCTGGAAAGCTCAAATGGGATGAAAACTTTAATAGATGCTCATAAATATATTAGCTCTATCCTGAAAGAGTGAGGAGGAACGGAAAAGGAGGAACGAAAAGTGAGGAGGCATTTCAAGCAATGAGAACAGCTGAGACAGAATGTGAGTTAAGATGCCTATGGTTTGTGCACAGTGGTAGAGCAGCAAGTGCTGAAGCTGGTGAGCTGCATGGAACCCACATTGTGAAGTGTCTCTTGTACATCACCTTAATGAAACCAGACTTTACCGAGATACATGGAGAACTGCTGAGAAATTTTAATCAAATGAGGGACATATGAGAGTTGTTTAGAGAAACCACTGTTTAAAGACATAGGTAATACCCATCCGTTTGTCAAACCATCCTTCTACCCATCTATCCGTCCATACACCCACCCATTCAATCATCCCTGCATTCAAAGAGTAATTAAGAGCCAGGTCTGTGTCCAGAGTTAGGCTAGTCCCTGAGGAGACAGGTTTCTTGACATGACCTCTGCTCTTATGGAGCTTCTTGTCACGTGAGATCAGTGAGGAGACTGGCACTAACACAGAAAATGTATGACTCTGGCTTGGACAAAGGACCATAAGAGGGGATGACAAGTCAGAATTCCTAAGGAGGAAAAATGGGTACAGCTGGGAGATTGGATGTATAGTTATGAGGTGGGAGAAAGGAAGGAAGGGAGGGAGGGAAGGAGAGAGGGAGGGAAGGAGGGAGGGAAGGAGGGAGGGAGGGAGGGAAGGAGGGAAGGAGGGAGGCAGGGAGGAAAAAAGGAAGAGGGGTGGCAGAAGGAAAGAAGGAAGGAAAGAAAAAAGGAAGGGAAGGGGGAAGGAAAGCAGGGAGGGAGGAGGGGTGGGAAGGAGAAAGGAAGAGGAAGGGGAAGGGAAGAAAAGAAAAAAACAGAATTAAACAAAGAGAAGTGCAAAAGTCCCCTTACTTCAGTATTAATACATATCCTTTTGTATATATAGTGATTAAACGAAAAGTTACATGTTTATATAAGCTATCCACTAGAAATAAGACCATATATGTGTGTAGAACTATATTTATACATACTTACGCTGATCTAAATTTACATTTATGAGGCTCTATACATACACTGATTATATATCTATGCATATACTGTATATATGACAGCTGTGGCCATGAACACAGTCATAAAAATTTGGCACCAAGTTGTTTTTCCAGGTGAATAGTTAAGCATAACTGAAATATTCTGGGCAGAAAAGTGGAGAAAACACTGACACAAATAAGCAACAAATGAAAACAGCCAGTGCCATGTGCTAATTTCTCATGGAAAACCCAACACTTGGAATATATTATATGGTTACATAAGTGGCGTTAACTGGGATTTGAATCAGTCACATCAAGGTCTCTAATTCCTGGGCTACAAGTGTAACATGGTATTAAATACCTCAGGAGATATTCATGTATGAAATATGGTTTTTGCTCAAGAGAGAGGAGTGAGACCACTTTCTGTGAACAAAGGCAAGGCATTTATGACTGTGTTTACCACCTGTGAACTGAAGCTAAGGGAACGTAGTAGATGTCCAAAACATATTTGTTTAAGTAAGAATCTTCTGCTTGTTAATATGGGGTTTTAAAAAAGAAGAAGGTACAGCTCCATAGCATATGAGGGCTGGAAAGGACATTACAGTTCAATTGTGCATTCTATGGAGAAGATGCCATCTCCAGAGAAGCTATGGGACTCACTTTAGGGCACAAAGTCTGTTAATGGCAGGGCTGTGACCAAGGTCAGGCCTCCTCATTCCCCCACCCCCCTGCCCCGTGTCCTCTCCCCATCCCCACAGATATGTCTGGTGTGGCTCATGAATTTGGTAGTTTTATGTTAGTTTGAGAAGTCGAAAAACTTAAACACGCAAAGATAAATAGAATGAAAATGAGTTGAGAAATAAATCGCAGAATTTGGCTCATGGAAAAGTTTATTTCTTCAAGGATATTGGAAGGGTCTGGGCCAAATGGATCACAAAGCCTGAAATAGGGTGCTCTAAAAAAAGAACAGTGTCTTTTCCAGGCCTGCATGTCATGTACTAAATTTACATAGGAGGAAAACCCGGGGCTGTTGGGTTTCCTTGGAGGCCTGAGTCAGCTCAGGGAGCCAGGGGCTCAGAGCTTCCAGCTGAAATCTGTTCTGCACATCACGCCTTGAGAAGGGCAGAGACAATCTAGGAACAAACTTCACCAACTGATGGTTGGCTGGATGAAGGTGTGGGGAGAAGTCTGGAGATGGATTTCATTCAGACAAGTGAGAGAACAAACGAAGATGATTTTAGCCAGAGGGTAGTGCTGATGCCACCTTCCAAGTATCTCTCAAACGCCTCGACTTCTCTCCATTCTCACTGCCACCACCCTCGCCTGGGCCACCACCACCCCTGACTTGGATTCTGGCAGCAGCTCCTGAGCAGCTGCTTTCCCTTTCTCTTCTCCAGAGAGCAGCCTGGGAATTCTTTACAACATGCACATCTTACTATGCACCATGCCCTTCCCCAGGGACATGGTGTGTCTCCTCACTGCCCTCAGTGTGAACACTCACGTGACGATTACCCACCTCCTCCACCCGCCTCCCCCACGTCTACCTTGCTGTGTGGGCTCTAACCCTATTTAAACTCTCACAGCATTGTCGAAGGGCTTTTGCTTATATAGGTCATATCTATTCATAGCTACTATATTGTAAATTAAAAGTAAGAAGTTTAAAAACTCAAGAGCATATCTAAGTGTACAGTCCATTAGCTATCAGAGCATGAATAACATCACATGTCACGGGTCTGCTAGAAAACTCCACTGTGCTCTCAGGACAGAGAGTAAAAAAGGCAAATGATGTCATAGTATTACTACGAAAATACTTTCATCTTTGAGGACACCCTGAACAAGTCTCCAGGAGCCCATAAGCCTGCGGACTACACTTAGAAAATGGCCACTCTGGATATACCAAACCCATTTCATGTCTTCAATGCACCTTTTTAACAGTGTTGTAACATTTCACGAGCAGACTGAGTCTCCAGTGCCCAGGGAGAGTCCTTCTTACTGTTCCCCAGCACTGCCCTGCTATGAGCACAGTCCTGTTCACGCTGAGTGGTCATTGCCTGTTTGCGTATCTGACTTTCCTAGTGAATGGCCAGTGCCCAGCACATGGTTCCTACGGTGGTCACAGTGAGACAGTCTTACTCTATGCACGTATACAAAGTGCTGTTGGGTAGCAGAGACACACCTTCTCAGGGGGACCAGTTTGGATAGAAAAATTACAATTGCAAGAGTCAACAAGAACTTTCTTTAACACATTAACTGCCTCTCTAAGAAAAAAAAAAGAAAATTTGCCCTTGGGGCCGCAGTGTTTTATTACAAAAAGAGAATTAAAAACTATGAACACAAAATACTCCTTTCTAACTTAATGACAATTTTGTTATTTTTCTATTGTTTTCTATGCATAAGTTATATAAGTTATATGCAACTCACCTGGCACTAAAATCAATTTTTTACACTGCATGCCAAGTGAGCTCTCTGTGACTCAAGACATACTTACTGAATGTATTTCTGAGAATTGAGTCTTCTTCTGTCATTCTGCAAGTGTTTGGCTGTGTCTGGACTGGCCCTGGTGGTCCTGGATGATGACCCCTGAATCATACCCATTAGGTATATGCAACAATGTTACGTCACCACACACTACCATGTCGATTTCATTCAGAGTAGCCTGGCAAACATTCAAGGGGAAATGCGCACTCACAGCCCTTGTAATGGGAGAACGCAGTCCAACACGTGTAGGGCCTGTAGTTGGCTGGCTAGAGACGGAAGTGGGGAAGATGAGCCAATTGACAGTGGAAAACAGCAAGCGGAGGTTTTGAAGCTTCCCAAGGCCCAGGGCACAAAACTGTTGTGAGTTAAATATAACTCACATGGTCAATAGTGTGTTAAAACATGGAGCTAAACGGTGTCAGGGCACCTCAGTGAGAGGCATATGGAGAGGATTTCTGCGCTGGGTGGGGCCTGGGCCTGGGTGACCTTGCGTGTCCCTTCCGAGTCTGACAGCCTGTGATTCTGTGAGGCTGGACTGAGGGCTTCTCCCAGACTTCCCACTTGCTTCACATTCCAGAGGAAATTGTTTAGAGTTCCCGGGTTTGACTCTCATTTTTATTTTAAGCTACTTTAGAAAATAAAGTACAGTGCCATAGTTTTTCAACTTCACTTTCCTCTCTGATCCCTCTCCCTTGCTTTATTCTATCTCTGGATTTTCTTTTCAACTCTCTTTCTAAAAATATAGAGGATAGCGGAGGAGTTCTCACCGATGCTCAGTGAGGAAACTAGTTCCGCTCCCTCTGATGCGCCGGTGTAATAGTGTCCGGCTCGGTGACCGCTGGCACGAGCTGACCTGCACAGAGGCACGAGTGACTGGGTGGGGGTGGGGGCAGGGTCTATACGTAAGTCTCTCTGGGGCCTGGGAGGGGAGACCGAAGACTGAAAGTGCGGGGTCTCTGCCAACCAAGTCACAAAGTGCAACCACAAGCATTTGGCAAAAGGTGTCCTCTTAATTTCTGTAGAAAATAGAGTGGCTGCTTTGTATAGAAAATGATACTGTAGAAAAGCAGACTTCACTGGCCCCTTGGAAGGCCCACGACACTACCTGAGTAGAGGTGGAGTCCCCATCTGTGGCGATCAGAAAATGCTTCCCCCAGGTGTCTTGTAGGTGAATGAATCCCCCAAAGGAGGCATATTACAGAAATGAAAAGAGTCCCAACACATGTGAGAATGTCTTGGGTAGTCTCAGAAGTAACTGAGGAAGAATCAAAGACAAATGAACCCTTGAAGCCCCTAGACCAGGGGTTCTCAACCTTCCTAATGCCGTGGCCCTTTAATATGCTTCCTGTGGGTTGCGACCCATAGGTTGAGAACCACTGCCCTAGACTCTAATATGACTTTTTCTGTACCCACACGTAGTTGGAATTTGGAGAATAGTATACAAACACACCCAAGCACTGTGTTTTTATCGGGTGTGTGGACTTGGGCACTTCATTACTTAGTGCTTCTGTTTCCTCCTATGTACTATGGGAATAACATACTCAGGTCAGCACAGGTGCTCAAAAGGTATTTGCCAAATAAATAAATGCATGGGTACCAGCCTTGCAGGATGATCTTAATATCAAATGGGATGGTGTATGGGAAAGACCACTGAAAATCATAAAACTCTGTGTACGTTGAGAGATGTTCTTGGCACACTCCGTTGCCAGTAAGCTTCCCGAAGGCTGGCTTACCTTCTGCTTCCCGAGGGCTCCAGTGCCCCGATGGGCCGCAGGGCATCGGGGAAGAGGCGTTGAAAGCATACTGCACCAGGATTCTCCCTTCCAGACAAAGGTCACATGCTGATCCCAATTCTCTAGGAGGCCAAGGAAACAGGAAAAATGCACTGACTTAGGAACAGTTGAAAGAGCAACTGATGAGACGAGGACAAAGGCAACAGGGAAGGGGACACAGCAAGTCTGTGTTATCCCCTTTTCCCCCTACACATGTCAAAGCTTCTGGAAAATGACTGTAAGTGAAACTCCCCCCCCTGCCCCCCCCCCCAGTTCTCAACAAGGGTCTTGTTGAGGCCTAAGTGGCTTCTGTTCTGGTGGTGTATACACTCCTCTGACTTTTAGCAATACAGAATCAGTAGGCTACACACAGACCACCTGCAATAATTTTAATTTCAATTAGGCATGTAAAGCTCCTCTGAGAATTTGCTGTGTGGTTCTGAGAAAATCTTTTGCCCTATTTTGTTCCCAAAATTTACTTCTTCAACATTTATTAGGTACCCACCGTGTGCCAGGCACCATCCTGTGTCTTAGGCATTAAATACAAAGAAGGCATGGTTCCTTCATCTGAAATTGAGTGAAGTGGATTAAATGATGCCTAAAGAACCTTCCAGCCCTGACATTCCAGGGATGGATGAGTCACTCCTCCATTTAACAGTCAAAAGCAGTTTCCTTACCATGCCATCTAATTCATCCTAGCAGCTTTCCAAGGGGCGAGCCAATCCCTCAGTGGCACCAGCCCCAGAAGTGGAATATTATGGTGGCTTTGCCTACTAACTTGTGTCCTGTGTGTCTGGATTCAATCTTCCTTTGGCCATAACACCCTCTGGGATCCTACTTGTTCCCCAAATTTGGCATCTTTTTAGGACGCAGTTGTAGGAAAGGGAGAGGGATAAGTCCTCTTCTCCTGTATTACTGTCAACCCCAAACTACAAGGCTGATGGATTTCTGCAGAGCGACTGGAAAGTGAATCTTGGGAAGGTGTCAAGCTATGTCCCAGCCAACCCACTACTTCCAAAAATGCAGTTGACCTGCTGACACCCCTTTCATCATTCCTAGAGGAATCTCTTTGCCTTGGCTATCTGAAAGGACACAGTGGAGGAGATGGATACTCAGTCATGGGGTTCTCTCTTTACAGTTCTGTTCTCAATACCTTACATGGATAGATCATCCTCAAACCCCAACCTGAACGGGTCATATCCCCACCCTCTTTTGGAGACTCCAGCCCCTAAGGCCTTGTGACATGGCATTCAATGCCCTTAGAAACTCTTCCTGTCACTCTAGCAACCTCCTTTCTCTGCTCTGTAACCTCTGTCTATCTATCATGCTATGTCCTTGAACATGACTTACTCTGTGAAGACTTTTTATTGCACACAAGTGAGTTTCTCCCCATATATTGTGAAGTCCTTGAGGACAAGGTTTATATCCTATGATCCTCTTTTACCCTCAGGGTCTAGAACATAGTTTATTGCATAGTGTTGGTCAGCATACACAGTTGGATGGATGGATGGGTGGATGGATGGATGGATGGATGGAGACCAGTCACTTGAACACATTGCTAACATTCATGACCTAGCCCAGATGTTTAAATAGCAGATTTTGCATTCTCAGCCTTATCACTATAAATGTGAAACCATACGTAGGTAGAAATTTTGTAAGCACCCTAATATTCAGTAGTAGGAGAACCATTAAATAGTCCATGGGTAACCTGTTTAATGGACTGGCAAGCATTTCTTACAAAAATATGTATAAAGGTTATGCAATTTCATAAAAAATGTGAGAGTTGTAATATTAAGTAAAAAAGTCATATTCAAAGCTATAGAAGTATCCTAGTCTATAGAAGCATCCCAATGTTGTTCAAATAACCTTAGAGATAATATATTATTTGGCAGTAATTTCTGAGTGGTGGAACATAGGATGATTGATTTCATCCCTTGTTTTTAATCTTCCTGATTTTTAAAATTTTCTACATATTTTAAATACAGATTAGTTACTATTGAACTAGTAGTAATAATAATTATACAAACAGATGTGTAGTCAGGAAATCAGAGGTAGAGAGAGGGACTTCCTTAGCACACTAATGATGGCAGAGCCTCCTTTACTGTGACCTCAATCCATGCACGGAGGCTCTGAGTCACATGATAGTTTTATGATGAAAATTAGATTGCACATGTCCTGGGCTAGATTCAGGAACCACACTGACCTTAATGACCACTGAATCTTTCTATTTCTGTTTCCTTTAGATGTTTTATTTGGGGTGACATACCTAAAGCCACCAGAGCTTCACTGAATTCTCAATACATCCTAGGTTCCCAATAAACAATGAACAAATCATCATCCAGCTGACAGCAAATGTGTGGTGTCCTACACAATCAGAAAGTGTGTAGTATGTATTTCCTACCTCTGACATTCGTTTTTCACTGGTACTTGTAAGCACACACACACACACACACACACACACACAGAAATAATAGACACGTAGCATGCCAATGCTGGTAGAGAGAACCTACTTCTGTAAGAGTCAAAGCTTAAAGCTCTAAATATGTGTTGTCCAGTATGGTAGCCAATGGCTGTAAGTGACTAATACAAATTTAATTAAATTTAAATAAATTTTAAAATTTTGTTCCTCAGTGACACTAATTTAATTGTAAGGGCTCAACAGCCACAACGGGCTGATAGCTATTGCCTTAGACAGTGCGCAGAGACGACATCTCCATTGCTGCAGAAGGTCCTGCTGAACAAAGCCTCTCTAAAGCATCCACTGTATGTCATGAATTGAACTTTCCTCCTGTGCAATTAGAGTGGTACTAGTTACAGTCCATCTTTGGAAGAAATGAGAAAATAGTTACTCAAGTCATTTTCTGTGTTCTGAAATTTGGAAGAGAAGCCTTAATTGAGAAAGGTTAGAATGACTTTGGCTCACAGATCAAAAACTGAAGCCAAGGAGGCACAAGGAATGGATGAGGTCACAAAGACTTCAGACCCAGGTCTCTTGGTTCCCAGTCTGGTACTTTTTCCAATGTACCATAGCCAATTGTTCAGATAACTGAAACCATCCACTCAACACATGTTTGCAAGACAGATAAAAATAAAGGAGCTAGAAAAACCAGGGGTGGCCTTGAATTATTTATTCAGTTGCCCATGTGTGAGGACACAGGCGGTGGGAGGATCTGAATATGTTTTTTTAAGGGAAACCCTTGTATTCTCTTAGACCACAGATGTGAGAACAGCAGGAAGACATGAGGATGGCCAGGGGCGAGAGGTTGGCATTGATGGATGTAGTGGAAAACACCAGAGGCTTTGCAGGGAAAGGGAATTTGCAAGTAGCTAAACAGCTCTGGAAAGTGTCACATAAGATGGAAGCTAATATTTCTTGAACAGAGAGTATGTGTGCTTGGCATATCACAGATGTCATCTTGTTGGACTGTTCACAAAAGCAAGGTGATGTGAGCATGATTAGCATCTTTTTTAGGAAGAAGGCTCAGAGGAACAGAGGCAAGACAGCTTGCCCAAGGTCCCATCAACTGGGAGTGATAATGTTGAGATTCAAAAATGGATGACCTGACATCAAAGCTTGTGCACTTTTTACTAAGCCGATTTACATGGGTATAAACTCCATGTGTCCAGAGGAGTGATATACATAAAACGTAGCTCCATGTCTTGACACAATTTATTAAACTCACGGACCAACTTCCTTTAGCCATAGAGTATGGCCTACGTAGTTGTTAACCCTAATTAGATATGTTTCTAAAAATGTCAGTTTTAATTTAACATATGATAACTATGTTATGAAATCATAGACTGAACAGAATAGCTATTGTATGAGCCTGAAGAACTGACTGACTATAGGTTATTAAAAACATATTGATTGAAGCGGAGGGCACTATGTAATAGAGACATATCTCATTACACAACAATTAACCCTCCAATAGGCTTCCAACAATCAGATGTTATTTATTTAATGGACAATAACTGCTTTATGAAGTACAAAATTGAATACATACACAGGAAGCTTCATTTACAAAACTTCCATTTTTAAGTGGAATCGAATTGACCAAAAGTCTGATACTTCTCAGCGCCACAGAAAAAATAAATAAATCTATGGGCTGTTGGAAAGCCTGCTCTGAAGTGTCACACGAGGTTTCCCAAACCCAGCTCTGAGCTCCCAGGGAGAGCCACAGGGGCAGGGGAAGGGGACTTCCTACGAAGAGCCCGGAGAGTGCATTTCTTTCCCTGGCCATAACATGTGTTGAGATGCTAAGGAAAGTTCTAGATTCAGGTACCGATGGTATTGTGGAAAAAAACTAAAGCCCAAATTTTATGTGATACTGTGATCTAATATTTTTTCATAAATTTTAATATTACTTTTAATTGATTTACAATCATTAATTTAAAATTACACATGAACTTTATGGCCACCCTGTATATGTGGTACAAGATGATGTTTTGATATATGCTTATAAAGTGTAATGATTAGATCAGACTAATTAACAGATTCCTTACCTCTCATGTTCTTTTTTTTTTTTTTTTGGTGGTGAGAACATTTAAAATCTAGTCTTCAGGCAGTTTTGGAATACAATGCATTATTATTTGTTATAGTCACCGTTCTGTGCAATCCATCACTATAGCTTATCCCTCCTGTCTAACTGGAACTTTACACCCTTTGATCAACATCTTCCTCCCCTGGCCCCAGCCTCCGGTAGTTATCATACTGCTCTCTAGTTCTGTGAATTCGACTTGCTTGGATTCCACACATAAGTGACATCAGCAGGTATCTGTCTTTCTGGGCCTGGCTTATTTAGCTTACCATAATGTCTTCCAGGTTCATCTGTGTTGTCAAAAATAACGGAACTTCCCTCTTTTTAAAGGCCGAATAGTACTCCATGGTCTATATTCACTTGCTCCTCAGCTTACAGTGGAATGATGTCCTAATAAACCCACCATAAGAGGAATATGTCTCCCGTCAAAAGTACATGGAAGGCTATACTGAATGTGTGTTGTTTTTCTCACCACTGTAAAGTCAAAAAGTTGTAAGTCAAACCATCCTAGGTTGGAGACCATCTGCACACCACATTTTCTCTATCCATTCATCTGATGATGGATGGCCAAGCTGCTTCCACATCTTACCTATTGTGAGTAATGCTGCAGTGGAGATGGGAGGACAGAGGCCTCTTTGGCAAACGGATTTCAGTTTCTTTGGATATATACCCAGAAGTGGGATGGCTGGATCATATGGTAATTTTCTTTTTAGTTTTCTGAGAAGAGTCTATACTGTTTTCCATAATGACTACATTAATTTACTTTCCCAGAAACAGTGTTCACAGCTTCCCTTTGCCCCATGTACCCATGGTGTTTGCTACCTTTTGTGTTTCTGGTAATTTCCATTCTAACCCAGTGTAAGGTGGTATCTCATGACGGTGTTAAGTGGCATTTTTCTGATTTTTAGTGATGTTGGCCGTTTGTGTGTCTTCTTTTGAGAAGCGTCCTTTTAGGTCCTTCGCCCAGTATGTCTTATACGAGCACAAACTCAGAAACGTACACCTGTAAAGCTCATTGCGACCTTTGTGGCCTCTCTGAGGGGAGGTCAAGGGACCACGTGACTCAGGTAGCCAACTTCAGGCCACTGCGGCATCATTAAACTCAGTTTTCAGGGGAGAAAAACATGGCTCATACAGGAAAGTGAGCTTCCCAAGGTCACATGATTAGTTAGTGACAGATAGAGGAGCAGAGAAGAGGTACCTTGTACCTCGGTTTATTATTCCCTGGTCTTCTAAAAATGATAGCTTTATTTCCACAAAGAAATAGTTGGCACAAAGATTGTGATTATAGTATATCATCTATGTGTATATACAGGGTGGATATAAAGTTTGTGTGTAGTATAAATCGTAAACTAATTTAAATTGCACAGGAATTTTATGTCCATTCTGTATATTCATACAAATGTGTGCACACATACACACATGTGTTATACACACTTATATAGCTTCATATATATTATGAATTACCTATAATAGGAAAGTTCGTGTCCATTAACATAGAGGCAATGGCAATTCCTGAGTGCACAAAACCAAACCAGTACCTCCATCTCAGAGCAATAGAAGTGTTCAAGCCTTTAGTGACAAAGTGAATATAAGCTTCCATTCACTTAAAAAAAAAATGTATTATTACTTAACTCATTCCTGTTAGCAATCATTCGTTTAGCCCTTGACCCCAAATTTACAACGTGTCTTTATGGATGAGTCGCTGTGCCAGGTGGTGGGGTATCCTTCAAACAAGAACAAGAACAAGAAACCCAGCAAGGTCCCTCTCTAAGGCCGATTCCCTTCCAAGTTATTCTCTTGGCAGGAGAGAAAGAGGGATCAACACTTCACCGGACACACTCACCTTTCAAAGAAGTGGCCATCGATGGGTGGAAACCATTCCAGCGTCACAGAGTCCGTTGTGTGGCCCACAACCTGGGGGGCGAGAGCGACAGGCGCCGGCTTCCTGGAGGGCTGCCAGTTCTGGTACACCAGGTCCAGGTAACAGTGCATTCTGGCGACTTGATTGGGCGTGAAGGAGTCGGTACAGTCGTCATCTGCAAGCAGGCAGAGGGAGAGATAATCACCAAGCTGCACGGGCAGGCTCACGAGAGGGCTATGACGTCTCCTGGCGGCCGGAGAGCCAGCACCCCGGTCAGTCCTTCCTTGCCAACTCAGGGCTGGCCTTTTCCAGTGCTCAAGAGTTAATGGTCTGTGAACAAATTAGTGTAGTCATCACTTCTGGAGACAGGTGAGAGGAAACAGGAGGAAGGGGAGGGTGGATGGAACTGAAAAATATTATGCCTGAGACAGAGGAGAAAACAGCCCAGAGGTCGTGGCAAAAGACCTTCATTCCCTTGTTTATACACTCACTCATTCACTCACCAGATCCCACCCATGGCTTCACATTCATCCATCCCCATTCCCCAATTCTGCAATTCACTGACACAGTTATGTTGCACTTCAGGCAAACCTTCTGAGTGCCTACAACCTCTCCGTCTGTGCCAAGGGATGGGGAAAGATGACACTTACAAAAGTTCCTGCCCTTGAAGACTTACTAGGCTAGTTACGGAGTTCAGGCCAGTTCGTCTTGTGAGTCAAGGTTGTGAAAGGCTGCTGAAGTCTGTGATGTCAATCCCCCATGAGGGGAGGGGAGCACGCATTGGGGAAGGGGTGGGGGACCAGAAAGCTTGTGCAGAAGGAGGTCCTAATGTCAGCCAGATCATAGAGCCATGATTAGGAAAGAAAGCTGAGGGACCATGGGAAGGGTAGCTGCATGACTACAGTGGGCACAGGCCAGCAAGTCGGGCAGACCTTGGAATGGCTCAGGCCAGCACGTGTGCTGGAAATAGAAGCAATGACGTCTGCCACACGTTATTGTCACTGCGACATTCATCCCACACTCAGTATGAGCCAACTGCACTTTGTACACTCTTCACCTTTCCCTCCCCACTATTTTTGTAACACATGCTTTTATTTTCTTCATCTTACAGAGGAGGAAGCTGAGGCTGAGAGACAGCAAGCAACTTGTCCAAAATCATGGGGCTAGGGACACATCTGGGATTCAAACCCAGGGAGCCGCAACTCCAAGGCTGTGCTTCTAATCAATGTGAGAACTTCTTTCTGAGCCTACATGAGACCTTGGATAGATATAATATCCCACAGGTGGCTGATAATCAGGAGTCGAGCCCGAGTCCCAGGGGGCTGGGAACACAATCTGTCAGGTGTCTTCAGACCCAATAATCTTTAATCCCACTCTTTCTTTTTCAGGGTACAAACTGAAGTGGGTGACCCAAGACCTGGCTCCCAGGGAGGAGACTTGCCTCCCATCGCTTCCTCCAGCAGTTTTATTGGGCAGCCCCAGGAGCAGAGGAAGGCACTGTTTTGGCTTGGTTTCCAAAAACACCACCTCCCAGTGGTGTCTGCCCCATTAGGGTTTCCACAGCTGGGCCCCAGACAGAGGTGCATGGGCCTCCCCAGATCTTAAAATAAACCCACTATTATGAATCCTTTAGCATACGCTCCATTCTCCTTATCAAACAAACAGAAAGTAAGTTTGAGCAGGTGCTGGGAAATTGGAAATGACCTTGCAAACCCAGCCTAGGGAAGGGACAGAGGTATAAGGGGAGTCATACACAGAAGCAGCTTTGGATCCCTTTCGTAATTTTTGACAGTCGCTTTTTCAGCATCTTAGGTCCATCTTTAATACATTTGCGGGAAGCAGAAGAGCCTCCCTTAGCAAGCACTGTATAAGAGTGACCAATTTCAAACCCACATACCACCATGTAAGCCCAGAATACCAAACATTCTATGGCTCCCTAATGCCTGTAGTTCAAATACCTCAGTCTGAGAAGGGCCAGATCATTGGACAATTTTTCCTTTATTGCAATGAACTTTGTATTTTATTGTAAAAGCCTGGAAAATGCCACTGAATAGGTTAGATGCAGGAGAAGGGCGTGAGGGCTAAGGAAAGAAGTATGGCTGTACGGTTAGATTATTGCCTGCAGAATCTGGAGTCCAGTGGGCAAATGATTTCATGTCCTCAGTTTCCCCATCTGTGAAATGCTGACAGAAATGAAGACAACATGAATGCTCATCTCAAAACACAGCCAGGGCGTAGCAGCATGGAGAACAATGTCTGAGAACAATGCCTGTTCCCTGATAAATGTTGATAATGAATGTTCACTGCCTCATCGCTGAGAATAGTGTGTGTCCTATATATGTCTCTGTGTGTGCACTTCTGGGTGTGTGGGGGTTGGAAAACTAGGAATGGGGGGAAAACAGAAGGTAAAATATGCATTCTCTTTGATCTAGCAATAATGATTTTTTTTTTGTAGAGACAGAGTCTCACTTTATTGCCCTCCGTAGAGTCAAACAGCTCACAGCAACCTCCAACTCCTGGGCTTGGGTAATTCTCTTGCCTCAGCCTCCCAAGTAGCTGAGACTACAGGCGCCCACCACAATGCCCAGCTAAATGCAAAAGATTGATATTAGATATTCTTGGACAAACACGGGGAAAATACCTGTACAAGGATGTTTCTTGAAGTGTCATTCATAATAGTAAAAGAATATTAGAAATAACACATCTGTCCATTAATAGAGAATGGCTGTGTAGTTTAAGGCACAGGCATAGAATAGAATACTAATCCGACAGATTAAAAGTAAAGTAACTTTAAGAGTCAATTCCCTCATGTATAAGGTGGGGACATTTAAGTGAATTCCGATCCATAGAATTGTGAGGATTCAATGAAGTGGGCACATAAAGTACTTAATAAGATGAAATTAGGATAAAAAACAGTAGTGTTCCTACCAAAAAATCCTTCTGTTTTACTCAATTTTCCCCCAAATATATTTTTCATTTATAACTTAAAAATGAATTATTTCCTTATTTTTCAATTTAAAAAGTTTCAAACAATGAGTAAGTGATATATCTGGAATAAATTTGAACTTTAAAGTTGAAGTTGGAAAATATCTGTCTCTGGGTATATTACGTGGACACTCAGCTGCCATTAGAATCTGGGTGAGGTACCAAAGGGGTTTCCTTTATCGTAAAAAGCTCTGTCTCAGGAAGCTAATGTCTACAGTCAGCTCCACTTGGGCTCCTGTGCACCTCCATTTCATGTGGTGTCCAGAACTTTCTTGTTCTTCTGGCTCCATCTTGTTCCTAAGCAAAAAGATCTTTGGGGACTTTAGTGCCTGAGGACCCTGACCAATCCCCTCTACTGTTAATATAGCACCCTGGACTTGCTAACTGGACCCTGCTCTCAAGAACAAATTTCCACCTGCAGCTTCCATCTGAAGGCCCCACTGCATGAAGTTCGGGGCAAGGACTCAGGGATGCCACTCCAGATAGGACCTTGGGAAGAAAACTGACCCCTGAAACCCTCATTTTTCATTCCTGTAAAATGAGGAATAATGATGTTACCTGACTCATAAAGCTGATGCAAGCATTTAACAAGCTACCCTATGTCTAGTGCATGGGTAAAAGTTGCCTTTTGTAAAAGTCCTTTGTTGTTATATTTTAAATGACAATAGTCATCTTAGTACATGCTTATAAGCTAATAAATAATCCTAAGAAATGTTATTTATAGAATACTAATGATAGTACCAAGGACAGTTCTAAGTCCATTTCTTATACGATTCCACCTACTGTCACACAAGGTGAACATGCTTATGCCTCACGTTACTGGTGAAGTCATCACCAAGGCTCAGAGAGGAAGAGTGGCTTATCAAAGGCAGGAGACACAGAAGATTCAAATTCGGTCCTTTCACTCCAAATGTCGGCTCTGAAGCCCTCTGGGATTCTGCTTCTCTTCATGTCCATCAGCTGTCTCCTACATAACCCTGAGTGGCCAGGTGATGTTCTATCACTTCAGCAACCCATTAACTTTGGGCTGATAAGTGGCTTCTAATTTTCCACACATAGTTTTCTTCTATGCCCCACATATAGTAAATGCCTAATAGATATTTGGAGAACAAATATTGTTCAGGACCATTCTTATGCCTAAATCTTTAAATGTATCAATTTATTCATTTGCTTTGGAAATGTTCCTTAGAGGTGGGGTTGCTGGGTCAAAGCACATGTGCATATTCAGAGGCCTTGACATGAAGGAAGATGGGGACAAGATACTTGCTTCTGTAGGCTGGAGAGAGCCTGGCTTCCTACACACTGAGGATGGGAGGGCCTCTCAAGGAACCCCTGTGACCTATTATTTCCAGGAAGTGAAGTCAGGGTTGCTGCTTTTCTGTCTGTTGAGGGCTTATCCAAGAACTTAACATAAGAAAACTCCCTTAGAATCCCCTGTCTATCTGCTGAACTGGGCTTGCCCCCATCACCTGCCTGGTGTACTTGATCTGAGCACTTGAGACGCTCTCGATTTTCCCAGGATCGGAAAGTGAGGCAGATAATTATTGGTTAATAACACATGCTCTGCAGTCAGAAAGACTTGGGTTTATGTCTCACCTTTGCCTTGTTTAATCTTTATGGCCCCAGGCAAGTTAGTTAAACTACCTGAATCACACCTTCTGGATCTGCAATACCTGTGTGATAATAGTAGCAATTACCTCCTTGGGTTCTTTTGAGGAGTCAATGAGACAAGCCCATGAAGAGTTCCATCTGGTGTCGGGCCTGTCAATCATACTCAGGAACGACTATAGGCCTGTGCTAACTGCTAGGGTCGTGCAACAGCTACATGTGGCTACTTCCATTTAAATTAATTAAAACTAAGATTGGTAATTTAGGTGTTCAGCAGCATGAGTCATACTGTAAGTACTCAACTGGCATAGATGGCTCGCAGTTGCCATATTGGTAGCACAGACTCAACCCATGCCCAGCTTTACAGAAAGTTCTATTCAGACATTGCTATACTAAGACCTGTTCTCCTGCTCATGAGCAGGCTGGAGGAACCACTCAGGACGGAAAAGAACTGGAAGAAGCTGACCCCCCAGTGCTGCCACCCTCTCATCTTGACAGAGGAAACCCAGTGCCTGGCTCTCCCCAGCCCCCTGAGAACCCAATCCCATTCTGCATTTTGAATTCCATCCAGCTGCTTTTGTCACCTCATCTATCAGAAATCCTAAGGAAAACAAACATTTCTAAGCTCGTGGTCGCCTTGAATATGCTTTTGCGGGTGTAAGTTTGTTATCGTAGCTCAGTGAATTAGTTCTGCTGTTAATGGGTCACTGAGCTGAGGGGTTCCTTTAAAAAAACAACAGTAAATCAATCACCCTTTAGATCTGTACAATGGGGAACAACAACAACAGAAAAAGATTTAGTTTATGGGGGTCTAGTAGCCAGTGGCAGCTCCTAGGCCCCTAAGCGGCCGGCAAACTTCCAAACGTATGTTACTGTTTATTTTCCATGCGCATTGAGCGGGCCAAGGGAAGGTGCTGTAGAAATGGAGTGTAAACAGGGCTGGGGGTGGGGGGAGCACGCCGGATATGGGGTGTCAGGTTGGCTGGGAAGGGAAGCCCGGTGGGAATCCACTTTTGAGGAAACACCCAGCACCCAGGCCTTTTTTAAAGATACCCAAACAGGAAGACTCCTACTAACATTTCAAAAGACCTCAGGCTGGGACTGTACCAACTAGATACTGGAAGGGTCTCCAGAAGTCATCAGCCCAGACAGCAGAGCCCAGAGAGCCACTTGGGAACTCAGAATCCTTTGGGTTCTAGCAATAATATCCTGTCTTCAAATACAACGAGGCAGAAGCCTAGCAGAAACGTGGAACAGTTTGAAAGGGGGTTTCCCTGATTTGACCAGGAACAGAGGCCTAGAGCCGCGTTCACACAGCCCCCAGGGCAGCCCCCTGAAGCATATCTGTGGAATAGACTGTAAAAAACACCCAGGTTCCTCAATTTTCCCACTCAACCATCAGCTAGGTCTCTTTTGAATAGTGCCACAAGAGTAGAAGAGGAAAAAAAAAAATCCTTGGAGTCAGATGTGTGACTGGGGGCAAATGACGTCAGGGCATCTAAATATTGCTATCTGTAAAATGGGAATAGCTCTTAACCCCATAGTTTTGTTGTAAGAATTACACAAGATGGCGCATATTCAAGTTCTTCATGGAAAATAAATTGTTACATAGGTTAAAAACATTGTTGATGATAAGAATCAATTTTACGTACTTGTTGTAAGAAAATTATGCATTTTCTTTCCTCTCTCCTCCATCCCCTCCTCTCCCTGCTTCCTTCTTTCCTAACAACGTTCCCTCAGCACCGACCCTTGTGCTAGCTTCTGGGAATATGACCGGTTATTACAGGCTCTCTCTGCGTGATAGAATTTGCTTGTTCTACTGGGGAAAGAGACACCAAATTGAGTATTATAATACAATTTGATGCTAGGATACCATATGCAATTGTGAGGATTGTGCCTTACACAAAAACTCTCGGCTGCTGGGGTCAGTGCTGAGGGATGTGATAGCTTTGAGGAAGGGGCATCTCATGCTAATTTGCTAAGGATGTTAAAAGGGCTCAAAGTGGGCTTGATGTCCCATGTGCCTAATGGAAACACAGGCATCGGAGAATGCCATTAACACTGTTACTACTAATGGCAGATGAAAGGCTATGCTGAGATATATGGAGTTAGGGGAAGGAAACATGCCCGATCTCATGTAATAATTCTGTATTTACAAAATCAAAGGTTTTCTTTTTGTTTTTGCAAAAAATCCCCAGTAAGGTAGAATGTGGAAGTTTTATATATTTACTAAAGGAGACATAGGTTAAATAAAAAAAACATTCTACAATCACCAGCTTAGAAGAGTACAGTTGTGAAACTGGGAGGGATTTTGGAGAACAAGTCCAAAGATTCTATTTTTTTTTGAGAAGAGTGACACTCAGAGAGAGGACGACCCAGAGGTATTAAGTGGCCGCATGGCAGAACTAAGCCTTTCACAAGGGGTTTCCTGGATTTGGGTCCTGGTCGTCTCTAAAGTGTTTCTTTCTGGAGAACTTTGAAATGAAACATCTTTCTGTAACCCCAGAGGTGTTCACAGAAATGATTCTAATTGTTTGGGATGAAAAACCCCTCAGTCTCAGAACCATCAAGTAAGTTGTTCAAGGTTACCCTGAGCCAGGACGGGAGCCCACCTCTGACGTCCAATCCCATCACATTGCAGAGTGTGGAGCCCTACCTGCGTAGCTCATAAAGTTGTTGTAAGGAGTGTTGAAGAAGCTATGAAAGCCACAGGTGTCATTCCCTGGCCCTGGGTCACCGCAGAACTTGTGTTTGGGGGCTGGGTTGGTGTCATTGCAGAGGTCTCCTGTCTCAAAGGAAGGCTCTGTCTCCATGCAGGGGTCGCTGCAAGACTGGATTTCTGAGATGCCTCGGAAGATGTGATAGAGGCCCAGGCTGTGCCCAATCTCATGGATCATGGTGTGGGTGTGCCCAGGAGTGCCGTAGAAAGACGGGTTCAAGACAATGCCACCTGAAAGGGGAAAACCAGAGCATTAGGCAAGCTGGGCACTCTGCTTCCTGGTACAGGAACCCCAAATTCAACCAAGGATAAAGAGATGCTGCCCAAAATAACCACAGGGTTCCCCACCCTATGACTCCACCACTCTGAAAGCTGTTATAACCTGTGACCTGAATGATGACTTATCAGAGTGGGAAGGAGTCTCAAAAGTCACTTTGTGAAATCCTTTGATGTTCAGATGAAAACATCAGTGCCTAACGAGGTGAAGTGACTTGTTCAAGGTGATTTCCAATGATTTAAAAGTGCAGCAATGATTAGATTCTGATTTCTGGGGTGGTAAACCTTTCTGCTACAACTGTTTCCTTAGAATGTAAGACATTCTCTGGTTTACAAATATTCAATGTACTCTTGTCTAAATGAACCCCTCCGGCTCAGACACCTTGGTTCTGGCTGTCATTTTGCCTTCACTGACTCTGACATTTAGCAAGTTCATTACCATCTCTAAATCCCATTTCCTCATTTCGGATACTGTACGAGCACGGATACCCATGAATGCCAGGACCATGTTGTGTACACCATTATAACAGTGATAGTGATAGCCAGTGTTTCTTGAGCATTTACTACATATCCTCAGGCCCTGAGTATTTTGTACATATATAATTGCACTCACTCATCTTACAATTCCATGAGAGAGGAACTCATTCACAGAGAGGTGAAGTAACTGGCCCATGATGAAGAATAAGTGTGGAGCTAGAATTTGAATACAAGATCCTTGCATTCTTAAACCTAGGCTCTTAATCTCTGTTCCCCTGTTAATGCCTGCCAAGGGGCCTAGAATATAGTAACTCATTAAATGTGTGTTGAATATTTGCTGAATGCTGACTCACCTAAAGAAGACTGTGGGGGTATCATCAATCCCATGTCAGCAGCTGAAATGGCACCTGACAGGCATCAAGTGTCACCTGCTATGTATCTACTTGGGTGCACACAGCATGGGCATCACCTGGGAACTTAGTACAAATGCAGAATCTCAGGCTCCACCCCAGACCCATAGAACCATAATCCATGTTTTTAAAGAGCACATCAGATTGGCCAAGCATCATGGGTCACACCCGTAATCCCAGCACGCTGGGAGGCTGAAGCAGGTGGATTGCTTGAGCTTATGAGTTTGAAACCAGCCTGAGCAAGAGCAAGACTACATCTCTACCAAAAATAAAAAAAATTGGCCAAGTGTTGTGGCAGGTGCCTGTAGTCTCAGCTACTAGCGTTGTGGCAGGTGCCTATAGTCTCAGCTACTAGGGAGATTGAGGCAGGAGGATCACTTGAGCCCAGGAATTTGAGGTTGCTGTGAACTATGATGACACCACGGCACTCTAGCCTGGGCAACAGAGTGAGACCCTGTCTTATCACAAAAACAAAAAACCAAAAAAAACAAACCTCAGATAACTTGTCTGTATGTTCTACTTTGAGAAGCAACAGTTAAGAGCACATATCACAGAAGATTAAGCTTTGTTCACCCTGGGGAAATAGATGGAACAGAACAGAATCCTAATAACAGATTCCTTTTAGGCATTGGAAAGAGGCACACAAGCTGGCAGAGAGAGGTTTAAACTTTAAAATCCGAACAGGTCTGAAAACCTTGCAAGTAGGACCTCAAATGCAGAAGGCAGCTTCTTGCTGATTTGGACTGGCAAGTCCAGTGTAGGCGTGGGGCAGTCTCATCTCCAGCTGTACCATTGGGATGTTGCACCTGCTCAGCCAGGGGGATCACAGAATGTACTGCCGAGGTCTCTGGTCTCCAGAGAGGGCTCTGTCTTTATGCAGGGGTCATGGCAGGGCTGGATTTCAGAGATGCAATTTCTGGACATCTGAGCAATCCTGAATTGCTCAGAGTCTTCTAACACAAAGATAGAGATGTATGAGAGGGTGTGTGGGTGTACACGTGCACGTGGGCGTGAGAAGGGGCAGGCAGAGGCAGGGAGGAAGAGAAATTGAGACAGGAAATCTTTCTCAATTATTTTCTGTCAATCATAATATGAAACATAATCCCCTTCCCACCCAAGGGTTTTTTTTCTAGGGACCATGGTGTAACAGCAGAAAAAGAGGGGGAAAAATACAATTCTAATAAATTGGATTTGACTGGGGCTACTGCAGAGGAATTGCTTATGGTCCACATCTCTCCAGATGGGGAGGTGCAGCCTGGAGTCCAGCTGGAGTTAGCCTGACATGGGTGGCAATCTTTGTTCTGCTTCACACCAGCCCTGTGCTCCCGGAAAACTGACTTCGCATCTCTGGTGAGCTCTTGCACAAACAGTTACAAGGGTGTCAATGACTGTCTACCTCTCCAGGCAGAAGCACTACAGTAACAGAGGGCAGGACCACTCCAGGAATGATGATAGCATTGCAGACTTAATGTCCAGGCTGGCCCTGTCTGTTGTACCTCATCCCCTCGCTGCTTACCCCTTTCCTCAGAGTGACAGCACCAGGCCCCACTCCTGTTTCATTGCTTCTCTTAAAAGGTGAAATAACTTGAGCCTGACATCATCCTGAAACACTATAACTTGCTATGGATTTATAGCCTCCCATATTCTTGGCCCTGAGCCAGTCTCTGAAATTTATGGAATTATCAGGAGTATTTTTGTCTAACTTTAGAAGCCTGCTGTTCAACCCTTCTCAGACTCAGACTGTGACCCTTTTGGCTGCTTTTCCAATAAATAGACAGAATTTCAGAGCTGAGAAGAATCCTTGTAGGCCATCTAGTCTAACCTGATTGTTTAAAATTGGAGGACATCGAGGCCTGAGAAAGGAAAGAGACTTGCCTAAGGCCATACCACTAAGCAAAGTCACAGCTGAGAACGACCATGTACTTTGGCTCTGCTTCTAGTATGATTTCCACACATCGTAGTAGGCATGTGACTGAAGCTGATTGTCTTCAAGCCTAAGCTGCAGCCTCTCTTCTGCCCAACGCCTGTCTGCGTCTGTCTGCCTATTTGCCCATCCAGCCTGTGTCTCAGGATTTCTCAGCCTCAGCACTACTGACAGTTTAGAGCGCACAGTTCTTTGTTGTGGGCGTTGTAGGACACTCAGCAGCATCACTGGCTTCTACCCACTAGATGCCAGTAGCATTCCCCCATTTGTAACAACCAAAATGTCTCTAGGTCATGCAAAGTATTTTCTAAGGGATACAATCCCCTCAACTGACATCAGTTAGCAATTTATCTCCCTGTACCTATCTCTGTTTACCTATTTAGCCACACACGTGCATACACACACACGGAGTTGGTGTTTCATTCTCCTAAAACAACTGAGAAATAAATGAGAATCATCGCGAGAGAATTGAGTCTATGGTCTGATTCAGCGCAACTTCCATCATTTGAAGTTGTAGAATCTCTTATTTCCAACATAGTACTAGTCCCAGAGCAGCTACTGGACTCTGGGTGTTTCACCGGAAGCCCAGGCTGGCCCGAGGATATACCTAGTGACCAGCACCGAGCCCTAACAATCTCATATGAAGAAATTCACAAGTCATAAATATTTATTGTAAAAAAACAGCAACATTCTACCGAAGAGAAAATTGTAATAAATGATAGTGCCTTGCTAAATGGAATATTATATTGCTGTTAAAAATCTTGTATCTGGGGAAGTAGGAAAAACCCCACTATCTAAAGTGTGATGCAATTTTAAATAAAAAACTGGGTAGAAAGTAATGATAAGACTTCTGCAACATGGAAGAATATAGCATGTTATTAACTGAACAAAGAACAAAAAAATTGCATTGGTGCTATGATTTCAGATAAGTGCAAGTGGAAAAAATGTGTTTCTTACATATAGCAGTGTACTGGAAGAGGGAATGGAAAAATCAAAATTAAAGAACTACAGCATTTGTTTGTGGGGCCTGGTTCAGAAACTGTTGTCATGCCTAACTTGGGGTAGTTGGTTTGTATAAACCACGTCTTGTTTGTGGATGTGCATGTTTGAATATGAGAGTTCCTGGGGATGTTGGTAGGTGGAGTATGGAAGAACAAATTTGTGAAGACTCACTCTCTCTTGCCTTGTTGGCATCTTTCAAGCCAACCTGTGACTGGCTATGCCAGGACAATCTGGTTACCAGCTAGAGAAGTTACTAGGAGACAAAGAGTATGGGAGAAAGCAACCAATGAACAGAGTTGGAAATGGAGCAGAGTTCCAACTGTAGCTTTGCTCCTGACTTTTGTGTGATCTTGAATAAGGCTCATTCCCTCCCTGAGTCTCAGTTTCCCCATTGGCAAAACATGATTGATAATATTGTCTCCTCTATAGCATTGCTTGGTGGTCAGAATGAAATGAGTTCTTCTTTTTTTTAATTAGAAACTATTTATGGGTTGTTCACCATGACCACTGCTACTATTGCCATCATGATCATAGTAATGGTCATCTCACCACAGACTGTATTACTGTCTTACTCCAATTTCCTGCTGAAGGAGTTTCTAAGACTCACCTAAGTGCATTAGGGCCTCCTTGTCCCATGGCCAAGTTGCTACTCCTGCCAACTCCTCCTCAGAGGAGTTTGCAAAGAAAATATTGAGATGTGTTGATCCATCCAGTCTAAGAATGTTCTTCAGCTCATTAACATCCAAGTAGGCTCTGAAACAGAAAAGGCACCTGGGCTGTTATCATGTCCCACAAAGGTACTATTCAAATAACTGGCACTCTCCAAATAATTGAGAGTTGCTATGTGTGCCAGGCACTTGCTAAGCACTTTCTGAATGTCACCTTATTGAATTCCTTTAATGACATTATGAGTGAGAGGATCCCATTTTTCAGATAAGAAAATTAAGTCCTTGTGAGTTTGAGACTTCCCAAGATTGCTAGGCTTATAAACAGAAGAATTCTGTTTCAAACCTAGATTTACCTGTAGACAGCAGTTTCACCCCTAAGGACTCTGTCATGCTGACTGAGGGCAGGGCTATAGCTCACAAACCATAAAAGGAAGAACATGCATTCTGGGCTTGACTTTCCTCCTTCACTCATTTCCTATAGACCTTAGACCACTTATTTTGCAAAGAGTGAGCTGCATGAGAAAACCTGTTTTGCATCTCTGTGTCAACCGTGCAAGGCAGCATTATTACTCTGCTCTCAGAATGAGCAACATGTGTCCAAAGTTATTGAAGAGATTTCCCAAAGTTATGGAAGTGGTGGTCAAGGCTAACACTGGCTAGCTTGGAAACCTATCCTGTTTTCATAGAGGCATCATGCTAACTCCAATAGATGATTCTGCTCATTGTAAGCCTTTATTTATTTATATGTAAATAAACTATAGAGGGCTATTATATTCTATTTGGGGTTTCTGCCATTCTTGACGGACATGACTGAAAAGTGAATTAGCTCCCTACTATGCAGTTATTAGCTCCTTGGTACATGGGACAAACATATTTTGGAAGGAAAGGTAAATAGATGGTGGGGGAGAGAGAGAGAGAGACACACAGAGAGAGAGAGAGAGATGATCTTTGTAAAGATACGAGCATATATCTCAGGTGCTCATGAAATAAGAATTCTTCTCTTGGGGACTAGAACTGTCACCATGACAGAAACCTAAATGTGAGGAACCCCCTTCTGTTTGGGTTCGGTGACAGGCATGTCACTCAGTGGCTCATTTTCTAAGCCATGGACAAGTTCTAAGCCCCTTCTCATTCTCCCTTCAGCCCCTACTTTGTCCACCACTATGCACTTTAGGCATCCTGTCAGCAGCTGCCAGTACAGTGGGAAATGAATCAATGAATCAATGAATAAAAACAGAAATAAATAAGCAAGCAAGCATGGGATGTAGTAGATGAGACAGAGTCGATGAATAATGATATTTCATGATGGCTGGGCCCTTCTATGTGGACCAACTTTATATGGATTATCTCCTTTAATCTTCTTAATAACACAAAGGGAAGTAGTATTATTATTCTCACTTTCCAGGGACTTAGGGATATCTTGCTAAGGTCAAGCAGCCTGTTGGCAGTGTTTTCTAAATTTTCATAACACTGCCACTCCCCAGGAGTTCTCACTGGGGCCAGCCAGTAGCACACATCTTCTCTTTCTCTCTTGGAGTAATAGAAAAACAAAAGAACTATTTACCCTCCCAATGTGCGAAAGCATGAAGCATGGCCTCCAAGCCCCTGACTACCTCAGCCTCCTGCCTTTTTGCTCCCTCTCTTGAATGTGCTTCTGTGCACAGCCAGCAACTCTGCACCCACCATGATGCACAAGCCCACTAGTGCTGGTGCCCACACCACTGCCTCTGCTGGGACTCTGATCAGAACATTGTCCTCTGATGAACAAATCAATGTTTGTTCTGGTGTCCCTCTGCTGAAAGACTTCCGTGGTTCCCACCTCACCTGTGCCCCCTTTACCATCTCTGCGTCGTGGTGCATGCTCTTGCTCTCACACACCATTTCCATTAACCACCTCACCTGTCCATATGTACCACTCTTTTGTGCCCACCTGGGGGCAAGGGAGGTGCCTTATTTAACTCTGTTTACCCAGCAATTAGCACAGGGATTGAAAGCTGGTGAGCACTCAGTAACTGCTGGTGGAGTTGAATCTAAATAAAAGGAAAGATAAAAGCTAAAAGATGTAGGTCTCGGTCCCAGTTTCAACAATCCCTGACTTTGAAGCCTCAGTTTCTTGATCAATACATTGGAGTCAGCAGCAGCTGCCTGATACTGCACAGAGTCTTCCTGTGGGTTGCAAACCCACACATGCCTCAGGAAGTGTCTGAGACCTAGAGTGTCTTGGGCACTCATGTCATAGAAAGCCTCAAGCTCATGAAACCAGATGTTCACATGACCATCACTTTTATAAATTTTCCCAAAACAGGTTCAGACATAAGAAGTGGGGCCAGGAGAGATTACATCAAATTTAGAAGTAACATGACAGTACAGGGACAGTGATAGTAAAAGAAGGAAAACAGCTTCTTAAGGCCGCTTGACTTGACATCTTGGGACTAAGTTGAACTAATTCCAGGGACAGTCACTGAAGCTAAGACTGACCCAAAATCTCACTGCTGAGCCCTTCTCCTCCTTGAGATCCCACGTTCAGCTTCTTGGACTGGAAGCCTCATGAGGAGTTCTAATAGGTCGGCTCTGTCATCAGAAGAGGCAGAGAGCAAGGAAGAAGTCAACATGTACTAAGCTCTTGCTGTGTGCCGGCCACTCTGCCAGGAGCACATGTTGCTCATCTCTCTGATTGCTATTTGAAGCCACCCAGAAGCACGGACAAGGTGACTCTTTCCCAAGGATGGAATCTCACTTTTCCATGTGATGTCTGGGTCACCTGGGCAACTTACTTAACTTCTTGTGCCCTAGTTTCTTTACAGATAGAATGAGTGTAACAATAATACCTGCCCCATAGAGGATTCACAAAGTTCATAAAGGGAGTTTAAAGGGCTTAAGAACAATGCCTCACATGCAGAAACCCTCAACACATGTTTAGCTATTCTTATCATTTATCACCATCTCACAGACGAAGGAGCAGAGGTTCACAGATCACACAACTGGTGACAAGGCCAAGTACAAATCAAGATGTGTCCGACTCTTCCCACAACTCCACCCTCATTTCCCAGCTCACCCAGGCCCACAGTGGAAAGAGCAACAATGCCTGAGAGGAGAATGAAAACACAGAGGAACCGAGATTTTCTTGGATCAGCCCTTTCCACTAAATTTATCATTTTCTAATTGATTTGTCCATTTCCATCAAGTGTTCTCTCAGGCAGAGAATACAAATGTTATTAGAGAAAGCCACCTCTGCTCCACAGCTCTGGGATGAGAAAGCTTCATGAGAGACAGAGACAGGGTGGGGTAGGGACAGGGGAGGAGGTGTGTTAATTGATTGTTTATTCAGTGGTAATTGTAGCCAATCTTTTCAAGAGGTGGTATTCATCCTAGCCCAAAGCAGAGAAGTGGGATGTCTGAGCTTCTCCCTGGCTTGTATGTGGGTTTTTTTCATACTTTGGGATGATGCCATTTCCCAAAGAGGGGAGAATCCCCAGCCCTACTGGCCTCCCTCCCCTGCATCTCTCCTGGGGGGAATCCACCCAGAGGAATAAGAAAACCCAGCTCTGTGGCTAAAAGTTTTCCTTGTGCTGGCCGAGGTCTTCCCACCAATACAGAGCCAAGTTGGGTGTCTCCCAAATGTATCAGGAAGAAAATCTTGGGAGCAGCAGTCCAAGTGGGTATTTAATCTCCCTACTCCTATCCCACGAAGATGATTTTTTTCCACTTTTGTCAACAGATAGAGGAGAGAGCACAGGAGGTCAGATTTAGAAGTAACATGACAGTACAGGGACAGTGATGGTGAAAGAAGGAAAATAGCTTTTTAGGGCCACTTGACTTGACATCTTGTGACTACTGGAAGGCTGGCCCTATGTATTTATTGTAAATTGATCAAATTTATTAAAAAAAATTATTATCCAGGGTGGTGCCTGTGGCTCAACGGGTAGGGTGCCAGCCCCATATACCGAGGGTGGTGGGTTCGAATCTGGCCTCAGCCAAACTACACCAAAAAAATAGCTGGGTGTCATGGCAGGTGCCTGTAGTCCTAGCCACTCAGGAGGCCGAGGCAAGAGAATCGCCTAAGCCCAAGAGCTGGAGCTTGCTGTGAGCTGTGATGCCACTGCACTCTACTGAGGGTGATAAAGTGAGACTCTGTCTATAAAAAAAAAAAAAAAAAAAATGATTATCCATCCACCCCCCCACCCCCAAAATCAATCCAAATCCCTAAACTCTGTGTGTCTATTAACTTATGTACCAATACAACTCAAAGTTGAATGGACCAACCTATATCCATGGGCAAGTTGCTTTATGTTTCAATTAACTCACAGTGATGCTGGTAGGATTCAAAGAGATAGCTCAGCATGGTCACAGCACACACCCAGGAGTGTGAGCTCCCCTCCAATCCTGGCCTCCTATGTGGCTTGCCCTGTCTCAGCTTCCAGTGCCTCTTCCCCACCATCCAGTCTTCTTCCTTCTCCTGAAACCTCATCCACTCAAGCTTTCATGGCTTCTTCATCCCAAGAATCTCAGGTTTTCCCTGATTACGCTCATTCCCGGAGCACGTCCTTTAATTTCCCTTCCCCTGCCTTCTGGTCCCTCTTACTAAATCTTAATTTTTTTAAATCTTACCCTCCCTGCAAAGCCCAGCTTACATGTGATGAACTCCATGGATTCTCTCTGACACCTTCATCTGCAAAATGGGGGTGAAGATGATGGTCTTTGGGGCTGTTGGGAGGACCGCAGGCAATGCAGGTCAAGTGCTAGGGTAGTAGCTGGCAATAGAAGCCATTCATTGTTCAGGGTTTGCTGATTGCATCATTGTTGGTACAATGATAATTATTAGCAACACCCAAACATCATCTTTACCTCTATCTAAAACTGTGCCCCCTAGTTTGGTTTGTATTCACTGAGTGAGAAGCTGCCTTCTGTATTAGGTTATGAGCTTCAAGCACATGGGACAAAGCCTTTAACATCTCTGCATCCCTTAAACATTCAAGAGAGAAAGAGAGAGAGCTGCCACCAACGGGCACCTACCGAGCAGCTCCCTCTCACATTGCCTAATTTCAAAACAGTTTGAGAAGCTCAGGGATCAGAGAAGTGAAGCAA